CCAAACCTTTTTAACAAACTCCTTTCCTGCTTAATGAAATACTCTCGAAAAAACAAAAGTAATAACTGATTTCGAGGTTCAGTTCACCCGGCCCTCTGCTTCGGAGTTCCGGACTTAATTGGCAGAGCTGTAAGCCGATAGTATATACCTAACCAGGTAGACTTAACGAAGGGTGATGTATAAGCAAATGATGAGTCCATCCTATCAGCTAACCATAAGTCACTTTTTTCACATCTCAGCAAAGAAATAATACCTGTCATATCAAGAAGATGTCAATTTTAGCAGAGTATGATTTTTGGTCCATCATGTTAGCTAACCATATATCATTTTTTTTTCACATTTCAATTCAACAAAGAATAATATCTACCACGTCAACGTCACTTTCGGTAGAATATAGCAGGAAAAGGTACTAACCCGAGTCCGTCTTTCCTTCTTCAGGTTTTGCACCCATAATTTCAAAATCGTTTGTTTTACTATCGTGAGGGACCGTTTTATAGAAGTAGTAGGCCCTACATGTCAACCTTCAATGTGATCTTCTTCGGTTCTTCCTCTCTTCTCTTCTTCCTTTGTGTTTCTGTACCATAAGCTGTGAATTCTAGGTTATGTCAACCACAAATCGGAAGCCCATTCTTTGGTTCGGTAGCTCATTCTTTGGTTCGGTAGCTTGAGCCCACAAAAAGGATTGAGGACTACGTATTTTCGATTGGGTTAGAATTGGGATTGACAGCCCACAAGTAGAAAACCCAACCCATTGTTTTACATTTTCGGTCTTACTCAAATTGAGGCAGACCCAATTTTTTCCTTTAAAAATATAGTGGAAAAAGAATGAGGTACACTCAAATTTCATGAGCACGTTATAAGAGAAAATTCTAGTCCATAGGAGGGACTTCCACACCCAAATTAAAAGGTGTGGTAGGAATCAGGTGAAATATTCCTCCTATATTCAATTTTTTTAGTCACACCAATTTTATCTAGAAGTTGCACCGATATTATTAGTACAAGTCGACTGTAAATCTAGTATAATTTGACACTAGTAACTAAAGTTAGAGTATGAGAGAGAAGACTTTCACCCAAATCTCAGTTTTGTTTCCTTGGTAATGCTCTGTCCAGGACTGACGTCCATCCGAACGGCTCCATTGGTGAGCCGTGATCCCCACGAGGCTCTCTTATCCGCTCCCTTTCAGGCACCGTAATTTCTTAAAAGAAAAAAAAATTGCCACAGCACCGCAACCGCTCTGCGACCGTGCTTCGCCGCGCCTCCCGCCCGCCTTCCTCTCCGCCGCCGTGCCCGGCCAAACATCCCGCACCATGCCCTCGTCCAATTCGCCCCATTGTAGAAAGAGAGGCAGGGGAGGCCTGCACCTGCGTCCCCACCCAGCGCGCCCATCGGTAGGAAGGGGTGGCCTTTGCGCTGCGCCTAGGGTGTATGCTGGACCGTTGCTCTCGACGTCTCCCGAACCCGAGCTTGTTGGCTACCTGAGTTCCCCGCCAGGAAGGTTGTGGCCGCCAGCGATGCTATGTTTCAAGTATTTCAGGCGTTTCATACTTATGTTTCAAGTTCCATCTAAATGTTGCAAATAGATCTTGGATGTTGATGTCGATGTTTTACCACCGATAGCCTGCCACGGGGGTACCCGAGGCAGTTGTTCGGCCTTTGGCGTATGCAGAACTTGGCGGTTAACGCAAGAGACAGTCGATTTATCCTGGTTCGAGCCCTCTACTGTGATCGAGTAATAGCCCTACGTCCAGTCGGCGTTAGCCTTTGCGTTGGATTGATTGGTATACTGTGTACAATTGTCCTTAGACCTCACTACTTCCTGGCTTACTTTTCTTGCTTAGACTTAACTTCCACTTCGACCTACCGATCTAGAGAGCCCTGCCCTCCTTTATATAGTCCAGGAGGCAAGAGTCCTAGTCGGTTTACAATGTAGAGTCCTAGTAGGATTACAGGGTAGTACTACTACTAGGATTACATGGGAGGAATCTTAGTCAAACTAGATCTTCTCTCTTCCTTGCGGGGTATCCCGTGGGTCCCACATCGACAGTTGCATATGTTACACGCCCTTGTTTTAAGTGTTTCAGGTGTTTCAGACGTATATTTCAAGTGTTTCATCGGATGCTCCATATGTTACTATGACTCTATATGTATGTTTCAAGCGTTTCACATGTTTCAGACTCATGTTGCAAGTGTTTCATCTGGATATTGCAAAAGTAGATCTTGATATTGCATATGTTGCTATAACTATACACGCATATTTCAAGTGTATGTTTTAAGTGTTTCATCTGTTTCAGATGTATGTTGCAAGTGTTTCATCTGAATGTTTCAAAAGTAGATCTGGTAGAGCACATGTTTCATTTGCCGCAACCACCCTACTGTTCCTAGGGGTGTTGGGAATATGCTCTAGAGGTAATCATAGAGATGATTATATTACGTTGTATCCAAGATTTATTATGAGTTCAATGAATATCCATTAAAGGCAACTTGTATCGATTGGCAATTATGAGAATTGTTTGTGAAACTCGTTTACTTGTATGGTTATTCTAAAGTTGTCCCTGATCGGAGTTTGTGTGAGAATACACATGAATATTAGATCAGCACATATATTAGTTGATGACTATGTTTCACAAGTCATAGACATAGAGATGTCAAACTAATAGTGTGGGCACATGTATGACATGGGGCTGGACTGACCCAACGTGAGATGTTCTAATTATCTCTATACATATCATGTACGTTATATCCTTAGACCTGAGATTGTCGTATGTATTCAAGATGTGAAACGACCTACTCAGGGACTATCAAACGCTATTCCATAACTGGGTAGTTATAAAGGTGGTTTTCGGGTTTGTCGGGATACATGCTGTGAGACATAGTCAATCAAGATGGAATTTGCCCCTCTTCATATAAGAGAGATATCACTGGACCACTCGAATGATTGGATCAAGAAATGCATGGCCGTGCTTGGGTTAAGTGTTAACCTATGAGTTGGACCAAATATCGTGAGGCAAGGGAATAAGATGTATGTGGTTTTGTGGTGGTTCGTTTGATATGATCTTTGCGTATGCATAGGAGTTGACACGCCTTGCTAGAGGCCGCTATCAACTAATGGCTGAGTAAGAGTACTCAGGCCATGTCTATGTGTGCGTGAACCCATAAGGTCGCACGCTTAAGGGGCTGGAAGCCTAATTTGGATTGGATCCGAGTTAGACAAGGCTTAGGGTTACTAATGGGCCTCCATCTCTGTAGTTCATTAGGGACGCCTATAAATAAATGGGGTGGGCAACGGGGCTGAGTGAGGCTATTAGGGCAGCCGCCGCACATCCCACGCCCGCGCCTGTTGTTCCTCACGGACCTAGCAGTCCCGAGGCGTGACGCTTCCTCCTTGTACGTGTGGATACCTCGGAGGTGCTGCATCTGGAGCACAAGGACGAACCGCACGAGAGGGACGGACAGACGGACGACCTTGCAACTGCATGGCACTGCTACGACGCGTACGACTACATCGAGTCGCTTCCGCTGCACCTGCGCATCTAGTGGTAATCCCGTGATCTATAACTAGTAGTAGATCCAGGTTTATGAGGTCGAATTTTTGTTTTCCGGCTAGCGTAGCATCCTCATAACCCTACAGTGGTATCAGAGCCGTTACTGTGTTGTTATAGGTTTGGATGCGTGCATATGAAGATATGCGCGGTAGTAGATGAGTCTCTGATCATGGTTCGTGATTTTACCGTGTTGGTCTTGTAACGATCTACTCGTACCGGTCAGAATTCCGCCATCCGAGTTAAGTGATACATGTAAATCCAATCATGGCAAGATGGAGATCACTTCTGTTGATCGAATCGAACCTAGGTCAAGTGCCGAGCGCATGTGATGCGCAGCGGTGATAGATTGGATCTACTGCCGGGCACTGGAGTGCAAGAAAAAGTGATGTTCGGTAAAACAGCCGTAACTTTTGCATACGACCTCGGATTGAGACGAACTCTAAACGAAAATTAAAGAGAAAATAATTTTACATCCGTTGATGATCACCTATGGCCGTTTCGCTGAAATTAGATTTGCAAAAAACGGCCAGGAAGATGATGTTTTCGGCATTTTAAGATTAGACGTCGGAATCGATTAACTCTGTTTTGCAGGAATTTATGACTGGTATAGCCTGTATGTGTATGTGATGCATGTATGTAATTAATTCATGGCTTGCATGTCGTGAGTATGACAATATGGCTGGAGCCACAAAGATATTGTCAATCTGATGTAATGGCCTGCGTGCCAAACTGTGATGGTTCTATCCGCGACTATGTAATTTTCTTCACTGCCTTGCGTTAGTGATAGCTAGTCTTGGTGGACTCATCACTGAAGGATGGTATAAATGGATCATGGAGATGAAGATCATCATGATGAACAGTTCGATGGAGATGGAGATCCCCAAAGGAACAATGGGCTATACCAAGTCATATCTCTGTTAATGCTGTTCTTACTATGTTCTACTTTCACGTGCGATAATGTTTTTGTCTACATGCGATAGTGAAGTAAAACGATCCCTCGGCAATGTTTAAGTTATAATGCTCCCCAAACCTTGCACTGTCATGCGTCTTGTACAATCGGTGGTGGGCCTATGAAATTAGGGTGCCACTGGTTTTCCTTGACTAGATAGGTTCGTATCGGATACTTATAGCAGAAGGGTTGGTTACTTGGACAAGGTCATCCTAATGGTTAGGGACCTTGGAGCATGAGTAGTTGGGCACCAAAGCATAGAGATGCTACCCAACAACAAGAGTCATATGTGATATGATTAGCAAAGAGTTGCTTACCGATCTACCATGTCTTCTAGCGGTGATGCTAAAGCTCACTAGTAGACTTGTTAGCTGTGGGTCTTGAATCACTAAGTTTCAATAGAGGGATATTGATTTTAGTGGGAGTAGATTCTATTAAAGGTTTAATATTGTTTACTCTGTCTTGGATACATTGTCTTAGTATTTTGCATTACTTTTGTTGTAGATAAATGGCGCCTAGCAACCAACTATTTACTTTGCGTTCAATTATTGAGAAAGATAAGTTGAATGGAACAAACTATGCAGATTGGATCCGCAACCTGAGAATTGTTCTCAGGGCTGAGAAAAAGGAAGATATTCTAGACACCCCATTACCAGATGAGCCTGCTGATAATGCACCTGCTGCAGAGAAAACCGCTTACAAGAAAGCATGTGATGCTGATCTTGAAGTAAGTTGCCTTATGCTTGCTTGTATGGAACCAGATCTGCAGATGCAGTTTGACAATAATCATGCAGCATACGATATGATCCACTAGTGGAGAAATGAGATCTAGTCCCGGTTGGGAACTAGTTCTACTCCCGGTTTCCCAACCGGGACTAGCAATCCGGGATTAAAGATGTTGTTCTTTAGTCCCGGTTTGCCACAACCGGGACTAAAGATCCTCCCAGCTTTAAAAAAAATAATGCCTCCCACCGCTGCGTCCCGTGAGATTTGAACCCAAGACCTCATGCACTGCCTCGCGCGTAGCTTACCACACCACCTACATAACACATCTAACAATAGATGGGATGCTTTCCTTTTGAACTAACCCATCGGGGGACCTTTAGTCCCGGTTGGTGTTACCAACCGGGACTAAAGGGTCCTTTAGTCCCGGTTGGTAACATCAACCCGGACTAAAAGGTCACCCTTTAGTCCCGGTTGGTGTTACCAACCGGGAGTAAAGGTTGGAGGACTTTTAGTCCCGGTTGGTGGCTCCAACCGGGAGTAAAGGTCCACCTTTAGTCCCGGTTGGTGTCTTCAACCGGGACTAAAGGTCCCCTGCCACTGTGCCGAGCGCAGTAGCCGTTGGGCAGGGACCTTTAGTCCCGGTTGGAGACACCAATCGGGACTAAAGGTCTCTCTAGTCCCGGGCGCAAAAAATACTAGGACTAGAGCCCATTTTAGCTTTGGATGAAAGGTCTGTTCTCTACTAGTGATCGTGGCGCTCGATGATATGTTCCAGACTCAAGCTAGGACTGAAAGGTTCAATGTCTCAAAGGCTTTTGTAGAGAGCAAGCTAGCAGAGGGTGCAGCAGTTGGGCCACATGTGATCAAAATGGTTGGTTACACTCAGAGGTTGGAGAAGCTAGGCTTCCCAATTGGCCAAGAGTTGGCTACTGATTTTATTCTCGCGTCTCTTCCGCCCAGCTACGGGAATTTCATCTCGAACTACCATATGCATGGGGCGGAGTAGGGCTTGAATGAATTATGTGGCATGCTTAAAACAGCAGAGGCTGATATAAAGAAAGGTGCTAGCAGTAGCCATGTGATGTCTGTCCAAAACAAGCCTAAATTTAAAAGGAAGGGCAATTCTTGGAAGAAGAAAAAGGACAAGGCTAAAGATGAGATCTCTAAGCCAAACCCATCTGCGCCCAAGGCTGGACCAGCTGCTAATGCTGAGTGCTTTCATTGTCATGGGAAAGGTCATTGGAAGAGGAACTGCAAGCTGTACCTGGAATCCATAAAGGACCGCGGCAGTAAAGGTACTCCCGCAGCTTGTACACTTGTTGTTTATGTTACGGAGATTTTCCTTGCTAATTCTTATATTAATTCTTGGGTATTTGATACCGGATCGGTTGCTCATATTTGCAATACGATGCAGGGAATGATAAGAAGTAGAAGCGTGGAAAAGGGAGAATTTGATTTCCGCGTGGGCAATAATGCAAGAGTTGCTGCGTTGAACATTGGGACGATGCAACTACAAACCCGTCAGGATTTATTATGGAGTTGAATAATTGTTATTTTGTTCCTAGTTTAAGTCGAAACATTGTGTCACCTTCATGTTTGATGAAGGATGGTTATTCATTTGCGAGTAAAGACAATGGTTGTGTGATCTCTAAAAATGGTATGTCTGTGGCTTCTACATCCATTGTGAATGGGTTATTTATTTTAAATCTTGATGATGCTCCTGTCTATAATATAAGTGCTAAAAGGCCTCAGCTTAATGAGTTAAGTCCTACCTATATGTGGCATTGTCGTTTAGGTCATATAAGTGAGAATCGCATGAAGAGGCTCCATTCTGATGGGCTTTTAACTTCGTTTGATTTTAAATCATACGAGACATGTGAGGCTTGCCTGCTGGGCAAGATGACCAAGACGCCTTTTACAGGTTTTACTGAGAGGGCGGCAGACTTGCTGGAACTCATACATACTGATGTGTGCGGACCAATGAGTTCGACAACAAGAGGCGGATTCCAATACTTCATAACCTTCACTGATGATTTTAGTAGATATGGATATGTCTACTTAATGAAACATAAGTCTGAGACTTTTGAAAAGTTCAAGGAGTTTCAGAGTGAAGTAGAGAATCAACGTGGTAAGAAAATTAAGGCTTTACGATCTGATCGTGGAGGCAAATATTTGAGCCACGAGTTTAGCAATCATCTAAAGAGTTGCGGAATTGGTCCACAGCTTACGCCACCTGGAACGCCTCTGAGAAACGGCGTGTCCGAGCGACATAATCGGACTTTGTTAGACATGGTTCGGTCTATGATGAGCTAGTCAGACCTACCGTTATCGTTTTGGGGATACGCTCTAGAAACAGCCGCTTTCACATTGAATAGGGTACCGTCTAAGTCCGTAGTTAAGACACCACATGAGATGTGGACTGGTAAGAGTCCCAGTTTGTCTTTTCTAAAAATTTGGGGTTGTGAAGTTTATGTCAAACGACTTATGTCAGATAAACTAACACCCAAGTCGGACAAATGCTTTTTCGTGGGATATCCGAAGGAAACTTTAGGGTATTACTTCTACAACCGATCAGAGGGCAAAGTGTTTGTTGCTCGGAATGGTGTTTTCTTAGAGAAAGAGTTTCTTAAAAGAGAGAAAAGTGGACAGAAGGTGTATCTTGAAGAAGTTCAAGATAAGCCAGTTGGGAAGGAATCTACGAGTGATGCTAATGTAGCAGAACAAGTTGAGATACCCGTGGCAATAGAAACACCGCCGCAACCACGAAGGTCGGCAAGAATCCATGAGTTGCGTGGGGATTTGTTATTGTTAGACGATGACGTACCTGCGACTTATGCGGAAGCAATGATGGACCCAGATTCCGAGAAATGGCAAAGTGCCATGAGATCCGAGATAGATTCCATGAGAAACAGTCAAGTTTGGAACTTGGTTGACCCGCCTGATGGGGTTATACCCATAGAGTGCAAATGGATCTATAAAAAGAAAAAGGATATGGATGGAAATGTTCACGTCTATAAAGCTCGACTTGTAGCAAAGGGTTTTCGGCAAGTTCAAGGAATTGACTACGACGAGACTTTCTCGCCGGTAGCGATGCTTAAATCTATCCGGATCATTCTAGCAATAGCTGCTTATTTCGATTATGAGATATGGTAGATGGATGTTAAAACAGCCTTTCTAAATGAAAATTTGGATGAGGACGTGTATATGATACAGCCCGAAGGTTTTGTAGATCCAAACAATGCTGGAAGAATTTGCAAGCTTCAGAAATCCATTTATGGGTTAAAGCAAGCATCTCGGAGTTGGAACATTCGTTTTGATGAAGTGGTCAAAGGTTTTGGCTTTCGTCAGAATGAAGAAGAACCTTGTGTTTACAAGAAGGAAAGTGGGAGCGCTGTTGTATTTCTGATCTTGTATGTGGATGACATATTATTGATTGGGAATGATATTCCAATGTTGCAATCCGTGAAGACTTCACTGAATAATACTTTTTCTATGAAGGATTTTGGAGAAGCAGCATACATTTTGGGCATCAAGATCTATAGAGATAGATCAAAGAGGCTTATAGGATTAAGCCAAGATACGTACATTGACAAAATGTTGAAACGGTTCAACATGGAACAGTCCAAGAAAGGGTTCTTGCCTATGTCACATGGTATGCGCTTTAGCACGAAACAATGTCCTTCGACAGCTGAAGATCGAAAGCGCATGAGTAAGGTTCCATACGCCTCGGCGATTGGTTCCATCATGTACGCCATGATATGTACTCGCCCAGATGTATCATATGCTCTAAGTGTCACGAGTAGGTACTAAGCTGATCCAGGTGAGAGTCACTGGACACTTGTTAAAAATATTCTTAAGTACTTGAGAAGGACTAAAGATGAGTTCCTAATCTATGGAGGTGAGGAGGAGCTCGTTGTAAATGGTTACACCGATGTAAGCTTCCAAACTGACACGGATGATTCACATTCTCAATTAGGTTTTGTGTTCACAATAAACGGTGGTGTTGTAAGTTGGAAAAGTTCCAAGCAGGAGACGGTGACCGATTCTGCAACAGAAGCCGAGTACATCGCAGCTTCTGAATCTGCAAAGGAAGGTGTTTGGATGAGGAGGTTTCTCATTGATCTTGGTGTGTTTCCAAATGCGTCCAACCCATTGAATCTACATTGTGACAACAATGGGGCAATTGTGCAGGCTAAGGAACCAAGGAATCACCAAAAGAATAAACATGTACTGCGGAAATTTCACCTTATTCGAGAATTCAATAGAAGAGGTGAGATCAAAATGTGCAAGATACACACGGATTTGAATGTTGCAGATCCTTTGACAAAGGCTCTTCCACAGCGTAAGCATGAGGCGCACATGAGAGCTATGGGTATTAGATATCTTCGAGATTAACTCTAGTGCAAGTGGGAGATTGTTGAGAATATGCCCTAGAGGTAATCATAGAGATGATTATATTACGTTGTATCCAAGATTTATTATGAGTTCAATGAATATCCATTAAAGGCAACTTGTATCGATTGGCAATTATGAGAATTGTTTGTGAAACTCTTTTACTTGTATGATTATTCTAAGGGTGTCCCTGATCAGAGTTCGTGTGAGAATACACATGAATATTAGATCAGCACATATATTAGTTGATGACTATGTTTCACAAGTCATAGACATAGAGATGTCAAACTAATAGTGTGGGCACATGTATGACATGGGGCTGGACTGACCCAACGTGAGATGTTCTAATTATCTCTATACATATCATGTACGTTATGTCCTTAGACCTGAGATTGTCGTATGTATTCAAGATGTGAAACGACCTACTCAGGGACTATCAAACGCTATTCCGTAACTGGGTAGTTATAAAGGTGGTTTTCGGGTTTGTCGGGATATATGCTGTGAGACATAGTCAATCAAGATGGAATTTGCCCCTCTTCATATAGGAGAGATATCACTGGACCACTCGAATGATTGGATCAAGAAATGCATGGCCGTGCTTGGGTTAAGTGTTAACCTATGAGTTAGACCAAATATCGTGAGGCAAGGGAATAAGATGTATGTGGTTTTGTGGTGGTTCGTTTGATATGATCTTTGCGTATGCATAGGAGTTGACACGCCTTGCTAGAGGCCGCTATCAACTAATGGCTGAGTAAGAGTACTCAGGCCATGTTTATGTGTGCGTGAACCCATAGGGTCGCACGCTTAAGGGGCTGGAAGCCTAATTTGGATTGGATCCGAGTTAGACAAGGCTTAGGGTTACTAATGGGCCTCCATCTCGGTAGCTCATTAGGGACGCCTATAAATAAATGGGGTGGGCAACGGAGCTGAGTGAGGCTATTAGGGCAGCCGCCGCACATCCCACGCCCGCGCCTATTGTTCCTCATGGACCTAGCAGTCCCGGGGCATGACGCTTCCTCCTTGTACGTGTGGATACCTCGGAGGTGCTGCATCTGGAGCACAAGGACGAACCGCACGAGAGGGACGGACGGACGGACGACCTTGCAACTGCACGGCACTGCTACGACGCGTACGACTACATCGAGTCGCTTCCGCTACACCTGCGCGTCCAGGTTTATGAGGTTGAATTTTTGTTTTCCAGCTAGCGTAGCATCCTCGTAACCCTACAAGGGGCGCTGCCGTGGGTCACCGTGCGGGCACGGGTGTGGCATGCGGACGTGGGGACACTGATGCTAGATGGGATACAAACTTGGTTAGTGGGATGAGGTGCGGGATAACACGCGGACACGCTGTCGATCCGGATGTCAGGACGCTAGTCCGTCCGTTCTTTCAATCTGTGCATGCTCTTTAGGAAGGAGAGAAACGGAAAGCACTAAAACTCAGCTGTTGTGGCAGAGAAGCATTAAAACCCATTCCCGTCCATGCTTGTTGTTTACGAAGAATGGAAAGAAAAAAAAAACATTAAAACTCATTGCGGGAGACAAGATTTTCACCGAGAGTAGACAAACCTATGAAAAAACTCGAAGCACGAGCGCAGTTAATGATCCATATTTTGTTATGGTCGGGCAAGACTTAACCAAAATCCATGCCGTGTGTTCAAACATGTGTTTGCTGGCCTGTTGCGCAGGACATGACATCATCACGGCCTTCAAACTTGCTAGTAGTAGTAGCAGCGTGCGCTAGCTGTACTTGGAAAATTTTGCATGCTACGATAATTCGAGGAGCTTCATGTTCTACTGCATGCTTACACATTAACCGAGATGCCATATTCTACTCCTTTAATTAATTCCTTAGTACAAGAAGTTTAATATGATAGGCTCGTTTAGTACTTTTCTCGTATCTTCAAGAGAAAGGAAAAGATGCAGTCAACTTATAACTTATGGAGCATTTTTCATCTATATCTATACCTAATAATATCGAGGCAAAATTTTAGTCCATTTTTTTGTCCATCCATTTTTTGATCACTCTCTCTCTCTAACTACCAAACAATTAAGAGTTCTTTTCGTCCGGACTTATATATATAACCCGTGCTCATATGAGTTAGAATAGCTCTTATCTAGCGTGATACAGAGTCCTGTTCGAAAACGAATTGGGTCGTAATGTTTTCTTCCTTGCATGTACGAGCTAAGAGCCAAATCGGATCGAGCTGAGTCCAACTGCTATACGAGCAGCTGCCGAAGCAAACATAAAAAGGACCGTTGAGTCGAGTCCAACTGCTATACGAGCTAAGAGCCAAATCAGTCTCCATCGCCGATTAGGAAAGATTATATTTAATAAATTGGATAAGAGAGACATGAAGTCTAGGTGCTCCTCGTAGAGGCAAGAAAAGATATAGTACTTAGTACTATAAGATTTAAAGGGAAGTGCACACTTCATGACCAAGATAATTGGAGTACATGTCTGACTATTAGAGATATACTCATACTCATGCACGGCCGACTAACATACTCGGCCAAGTACAAATAGATTATTACTCGCATATAGTAAATTAATAAGTTTTCTAAGAAGAGAATTGCAAAAAGAGACCAACCACCTCATAAATACAAGGGTGACGGTCGATCGTGGGGTATAACACCCCATCATCAAAAACCAATCTACTACTTTTATCTTCTATATATATCAAGCTCTTCCAACCTCGTACTGTCCAGCACTTCTCTCAGCGAGATTTGCTAGACAACCCCGATGTACGTCTCCCTGACGAATCTTCCCGGGAAACGTTCGTAGGTTTTTCGGGAGAAGAACGAACGTGTAATCGGCATCGTCGACCAGCTGATCGGCCTCGCTGTTGGAACCTCCCTCTACTGTACGGCGTCGGGCGATCTAGCCCTTATCATTGTGTGACTAGAATCGGCGTCAGCACTTCTTGATTGGACTCATATATCAATTCAGTTGTCCTATATTGAATGTTACGTTTACTTTACCCATGCATCTTATGATGAGTTGGCTCGCTTGACGATCTTAATTACCATGCATGATGGCCACAAACGACCTGGTATGTTTCCTCGTCTGGTCTAGAGACGTTTTTCTGGGCATCGTTTTAATCGCCGAAAATCTTCGCTTCTGAACGGCCGGACCGGAGCTCGCGCCGAACAGTGCCGACGCGCGCGCGTACGGGTTCCCGTCTTCCCGCGCGTGGTTTCCAGGAAGTTGGCTGCCTTCTGGGAGTTTGTCCGCAGTTGGGAGTCCGAAGTTGGCTGCGTCTTTGACTTTTTTTTCAATAGGCCCAATAACAACAACAAGCAGAGTGCATGCGTTCTGGGAGTCCAGGTACGTTTCTTTCTTTCCTTTTTTTTCTTATATTTCTTTTCTGTTTTCTTACGTGTCCTTTTTATCTATATTTTATTTTCTCCTTCTTTTCCTCTATTTTTATTTTTCTGTGTTCATCCATAGGTTGGTATGTTTATCTTCTTTTCGTTTCTTATATTCCTTTTTCTTTTCTTTCTCGTGTGGTTTTTTATTCTTTTAATTTTCTTAATCTTTTTGTTTTTGTTTTTCTATTTCTATTTTTTTCTTTTCTATTTTTTCTGTTGTTTATTTTTTAATTACTATATGAACTATTTTCATTTTTTTAAAGTTTTTCCATTTCATATGTTACGTAAGATACATATATCATATATTTTTTTTTAAAATTTCTTTTTCCTTCGTTATCCATTGATTTTATTTTTTTTAATATAATTTTCATTTATTATTCATGTTTCTGTGATTTTTTTACCTAGTTATTTACTCTAATCAATTACTTTAATATTTTTACTTTTTTATATTATATGAGATACATGTGATGTTCGCGTAGTATATATGTGATGTTCTATGATTTATTTTGCGATCGTCACGTAATATACATATGAAGTTTTATGATTTTTTTTGTGATGTTCATGTGTTGTACATGTAATGTTCTAGATGTATTCTGTGATATATTTTGTGATGTTCACGAAGCATACATGTGATATTCTATAATGTATTTTTGTATGTTCATGTAGTATACATATGATGTTCTATGATATTTTTTGTGATGTTCAGGTATTTTGTGATATTCGTATTTTTTGATATTCATGTAATATACATGTGACGCTCACATAGTACATATACGATGTTCAGTGATATATTCAGTGATATTCACGTAGTGTACATACGATGTTTTATGATATATTTTTGTGATGTTTATGTAATATACATACGATGTTATGTGATGTATTTTATGATGTTCATGTAGCATGCATGTGATGTTCTATGATATGTTTTGTGATTTTCACGTATACATTTGATGTTTTGTGATGTTCATGTAATATATATGTGTGATGTTCACGTAGTATACATGTGATATCCTACAATGTATTTTGATGATGTTCATATGCTATACATGTGTTGTTCTATGATGTTTTTTGTGATGTTCACATGGTATATATGTCATGTTCTATGATGTTTTTAAAATGTCCGCATTATATAAATGAAATGTTTCACTATTATCTTTTAGTATCCACATAGTATCCGTGAAATGTTCTTTGCTATATTTTGGTTGTTTAAGTAGTTTCTATTTCTATGTGATGTTCTTTGGTGTTTTAGTTTTTTCTTTTCTTATATTTTATCTATATATTATTTTTTATTACTATCTTTTTTATTTGTTTTATCTCTTACATATATTTTTCCATATTAAATGAGATGTCACATGGTATATTTTTATATAAAGTAATATTCTTGTTTGACGAGATTTTAAACAAAATATTCAAAATAAATGTGACCATATGAAAGTGTCTGTACGTGCATGAGCTCGTATTATATATATGCTACTAAAGAAGAATGCATGCATCTTCACTCGTGCTAATTAATAAATATATAAGAGAATGAAGAGCTTGGTTCATCATGCCATACAGCTTGTATATAAGGCGTCCATGTATTTTTCTCTAAAATTGCATACCCTTTTTTTTGCAGAACATCTAAAATTGCAT